TAAAAACCGTAAGATTTTATGGATTATGCTTCCTTATCTAATCTAATCATAGAAGGACACCCTCCTTACGAAGCTTAGGGAGGCGGTAAGCCATTGGAACCCTTGTATCTCTCTGTAGTAGTTAATTCATTTTCAACTTCTCCATTTCATCATTACTTACGCATATCTTAAGGGCATCCTTTAACCTAGTCTTAAGTCTTTTTGTCGGATCTCTCAGTAAAGGTCTATACGTGTCATTGTCATTGATATGAACAAGCCTTTTTCTAAATAACTTACCACTGATCTACCTTTGTCGGCTATCATTAAGAAAGAACTACTCGTCGTTTGCATGATAAGAAGCTCCGAAATTTAGGAATTAGAATAAGGTCAAGGAACTTTTGTGCCTAAAGTAAGTTATACTAACCGTGATTGTAACGAAGTGGAAAAGAATAATTTATTCAATGTATCTAGTACAAGTCTGGAGGATAGTGTAGTACTTTTAGTGCTCTTCAAAATGAGGTAAACCATTCTCTGGAAATACTTGTTGAATTAATTTATTAATTTATAGATTGCCTGAAGAGGTAAAGAATAGTATTGAACTGGATGTGATCCCTCCTTTTGACCATATAATACAGCCTAAGAAAGATTTTCATCTTAGTAGTGTTTTTCTAGATGTCTGCTTAATAGTAATCTTATCGTAACGAAAGCCTACAAAGGTGAATCAGTGGTAGTCATGGATAAGTCAAGTTATGTAGAAAAAGTGCTACTTCATTTAATGACACGTACAGGCCTTTACTGAGAGACCCAACAGAAAGAGTTAAGATTAGGCTAAAGGATGCCCTTGAATTATACGTAAGTAATGATTAAATGAAGAAGTCAAAAGTGAATTTTCTACTCCAGAGAGATATAAGGGTCCCAACAGCATACGGTATATCTCATTTGTGAAATAATCATGGAATTTGGCATTTGTAAAATATATTTAAGGACTAAAATTATTCGTTTTCAAATATATTAGGTGTTCCGAGAGTATCAGTAAGGCAGTTATATGAGATGTATTCTGTCAATTTCCTTTAATTTGTTATTCGAATTTTTCCACAATATATTACTAGAGCTGACGATTCCATTGAATTTCAAATAGCCTAAAGTTTCCAAAAGTTGATCACATCCAGGGTTGATTGCAGCTTCGAATTCGCCTTGGTTCAACTTTTTAAGAAAACGATTGTGCAATTATTCGTCTTTCTGTTTTGGCTTCAAGCTGCAATCAACCCTGGATGTGATCAACTTTTGGAAACTTTAGGCTATTTGAAATTCAATGAAATTATCTACATCTGATCTCACTTCCGTCATATAAAAATTTCTGAATTTCTTATATTCTAATCCTCGAAAGGTGTGCCCTTATTGACAAGTTCATTGTGGCGTAATCACACCTGCTGCCTATCTTACTCCTCGATCTTCCGAGTGACTGATCCGACCCAGGACTAATATCCGGATCTGCCTTATGGGCCCATAAATTCGTTTCTTATCTTTATGGTTGGCTGATTTAACTCGGTTCCAGCCCCATACACAATCTATATAAAGCACATAATTCAATTTGTAAATCTCGTCGTTGTTATCTCGCTTAGTCGCTTACAAATATACTTAAATTACATTAATATCTAAATTTTCAAAAATGTATCTTAACTATATCTAACATTTTATCTATCTATATTTAATCAATATCAATTATGTTAACGTTATATGTGACTATTTTATTATTTTCATAACTTATTACATCTTTTATTTGATTTTTCGTAATTTATTTCATCGTTCACATTTCCCCGCTTCATTCGTCCTTTCTGTTGCGTGCATTTACAATGGTTTGTCTTATTCTTTTTTTCCCTTTTTCTTTATTTATTTTAATTAACTTTCTTTTTAGTCTGAATCTACTCTCATTAGGACTAGGAAGTTTATTTCAAACCGTCTTCTTCAGCGTAAGCAGATGGTTGTAGATATTCTTCACCCTGGTCGTTGCGTCTTATCCCGTAAGGAGATTCGCGATAGACTTGCTAAGACATATAAGACAACACCTGATGTCGTTATGCCTTTTGGCTTCCGTACGCAGTTTGGTGGAGGAAAATCAACTGGTTTTGCTTTGATTTATGATTCACTTGATGCCGCTAAAAAGTTTGAACCCAAGTACAGGCTTGCAAGGGTGAGTTATTTTTATTCTCATTTTTTCATCTAGAATGGATTGGTAGAGCTCAAGAAGACCTCTAGAATTCAGCGAAAGCAACGGAAAAACAAAGACAAAAAGTTCCGTGGCACCCGCAACAAGAAGGCCGAACGTAAAGCCAAACGAGCATAAATATACTTACTATACTCGGTTTTTTACCTTTTATTTTTTTCTTATATTTGAATTGGGTATGCTTCATCTCTATTAAATCTATCTGCTTTAAGAAATTATCGAGGAAAACTAAATCAACTTGCACCGTATTTTTTGTATTTAGACCTTGAAATAACTATACGTTGACAACATAGCCTATAATATATTTACAGAATTCCCCCTAAAATACATCTCACGGTCGCATTCGTAAACTAGTCTTTATCTAAGCGGTCAGAATTTTGCTGAATGCCTGCGTTCCTTCATTAATTGAATCAAACGTGTTCTAAATGCCATTTTTTCCACTCCCTAAGTTACTGCAGATATCACTATCCTTGTCCTTTATAAGTCCGCTTAGCCTTCTTGTTTATCTTTTTACTATCCTTACGTAGGAAAGTAGCATATGTAATTCGAGGTTTCGATAATTCCTTTCTTTTGATGGTACTATGTCCTCAGTTATAGCATTTTTCATGACCCGTGTGTTTTAAATGCTATCTCCTAAGTTTAATGCTTACAGTGATTATCAACTCTTAATCCATCGTTACATTCCAAGAGCACTAAACTAGTCTCGGCCAACAGAGCTCCAATTCTGTTCTTAATGAATTTGGTCCCTGGTTTTTCTGCTTTAAAATGAGCCCCCTTACACTCGAACCGAATTTTTGGGTTTTAAAATTATTGCCAATACTGTTTTATCTCGTTATCGCTACCCTTTGTCCATACTTTCAACTGCTCAAGTTTGGTCCGAATGAGAACGCCTTATGCTCCATCTAAACGCATTGTTATGCCAGTTATTTATCATGCTTGGTGTAGCTCATCCCTGCGCTGAATTGTGCTAATCCATTCTTACTTTCCGACGCCCCGATGTTAATTTCGGACCGGCCCATTGCCAATTGTGGTTTCCCTGCACCTTCAGGAGCAGTCTTGTACTGGCAGGATTTCCACCATTGACCACTAGTTTGCTCTCAATGATCTTTTACCGTATCTTAACTAATCCGTGGTGAATTTGGTCAGTATGTCTGTTCTCTTAATATTCTTACATCCTCGAGCACTATCCACATTGTTAGCTATAAATGAAGCCTTAATGCTAGATAAGGTAAATTAATGCTTCTCATTTTTGTGTTTCGTATTCGCTGCCAACTTAAGTGATGGGAATTTTGATGGTAAAATGAACGACTGTATGCTAATGAGATAAATAGATAAACGGCAGATTCGTGAAATCCATGACTGGCACTACGATTTGCAGCATGGTGTTCATGCTAGTGAGGCGTCCATGACTCTTGTCACACATTGACTGTCTATTGTTTAAGCGCAATATTGATACTGAAACTGTTGAAATTACAAGATGAGCTGCATACATCGGGCTGCTGCGGTACATACCGTCCTCACGGGTATTAATTTTGTTTCATCAAAATAGTTGTCATTAGAGGCTTACAACGAGCAAATGTGTTTTGATCGCAGTACCCAGTTCACCCATACAGTCGAAACTTTGTGATCGCTACAAACGAGAAGATTTCTTGCTTCAGCACGACTGCATTATAGTTCTCAACAGGAGGGTAGTATTAGTAAAAACAGGTGGAAATTCTCATTAGGCTATGCGCATGGTGTAACCTGGAGGTAGGGTGCAAACTCCGGATAGGTATTCTTTGGCATCGATATGCTTTTAAAGGCTTAAATTGATTGCCAAATTTGCTTTATAGTTATCTTGCTCAACATAAAATCAGAGTTGTTGGCACCTCAGGAATTTCGGGTCTCAACAAACAATGTGAAAGTCTGAATCGTGTTTAAATTTGGGCTATTTTTTTGTCCTCTTTTTTAGACAGAAGGGTCCTAAGATAAAAGTACGATTGGTTAATCCCTTATGCGAGTTGAATAACATGTTTTGGGCACTGTCTTGAAACGGATTCAAATACTCTCGGGCTGTCTGAAAGATGGGACCGTTTATCATCTGAAGCTTCCCGCGACTCAAACCATTCACACGAGTTGTGGGACCAATGGGTCTGCTTAAGACTTTAGATAATTCTTAATGCCTATGCGCTTTGCAAGCGAAAAATCGTTTAGGCTGATATGGGATGATTTATTCCTCATTTATATTTGATGCCCACTACATTTAACGGTCACCTCGAGTGGAATTCAATGGTCCGCTAAAATATAGACGAAATAGTAGGTTGCGGATTAAATAACTTTTGCTAGGGTAACCTTCATTTCGGATGAAAGTGCATGAAGAAGAGATTCGTTTGTCGATTTAGCCAGATGAGGATGGATGAACCTCGTACTGCAGCCGTTTGGCTTTTATAAGATATTCATGTTGATGCAGTCCACGAGACTTCCTCCCTCGTTTCGGGTGAAAACGTGCTGGGCTTTCGTCCATCATATGATGAACATCATCAGAGCTGGGTGTCATTCTTGTAGAAGTCTCACATTAACACTAAAGCAAGAACACTATCCGGCTCTATCTTACTTCTTATATAGACTCAATCAAGTCAAAAGATTAAAAATTAAAAACCTAGACAGATCGATATAGAGTGGTTTGGTTAATTTTCTTTCATACTGGTTCTGTTATTTTTGCTCTATTGTATGAGTATGTGTGCGTGTTAGCGTGTATATGCAATACGGTTCCTAAATCAAAGTTGTCAAAGGTTAAATCTCAGGTTCTGATTCTCAAGACCTAATGACCCAAGAGAAATCCTTGACCGAGACTGCGTAGGTCCGAAAACAGGTATGGCTGATATATTGAAATATGAGCTTGTAAGCATGAAAATCAAGTTACGAAACCATTTGTCCTAACATTTTAGTCTATGGTCATTAACGTTTAACTTTTGTTCTGTTTTATCAATTGCTGTATACACAAGAAGTTTCTCCTTGATATCACATCCTTTGGACTTCACTGTACCTCCATGCGTTTAGCGTATTCGAAACTTTATAGGCTTCCGTAATTTTTTAATTTTAAATTTGCTCAGGCGTATCATCCTGTGACCTCGAAGAAACTGGTCTGCGCTTCGGTATCATGCCACAGGAATCACTAAGGCATTAAGCCACCTTTTTTAAATCGTCAAGCACTAAGTGGTTGGCTGCAAAACTTCCCCAACTTCTTAATATTCTCAAATGGATAATTATTCCCAATTAAAACGTCCCTTAAATTTCTGATTTACTGGTCCCGGTGATAAACACCTACAAGAAGCCGGACCTCTTATTACTGATTTCATAGTATAAGTAGAGCCGAAATTTAGGATGAAACCCGCATTTATGAGTTTCGCATGAATTATGACGATTAAATCCATTTTACAGAGGTCCAAACGCTCATGCGTGATTTTTATGAGAACGCAGCTGTTCAACCAGAACTTTATCTAATTCCCACGTCATCTGCAGTCAGATAATTTCCCTCAAGCGATTAACGAATGCATGAAATAGCCAACTAAGTTATGAGAACAAAGACGCGCTTTAAGTAGTGTTTGGAAAATTTTCACAAAATATGGTTTCACGCTCAAAAGATATTTGTTGCACTACATGAGGAATGTCAGCACGGTTTTAACGGTGCCCAAGGATATTACGCCGAGGAGTTATCCGTCCTATTCCAATCGCGAAATGCAATTTTACTTGTCATTCAAGTGCGGCAAATTTACTAGTCCTTTCCACTTGCCTAACTGACAGGTGCATTTATCAAGAGATACTTTTAATTCCAGCTTCCCTCCATGTGTGTAGACTCCTTCCTACTTATATTCATGCTCAGTATATTCGTTATGAGTCGCATTATTCTTACTGTTCTCGAAGCAAGACTTAGTCACCCTATTTTGCTTAAGTTGATTTGAGGACTGACAGCGGAGTTTCCCCACCGTTAGACATGTAGACTTCACGGCGCCATTGGATTTAAGTTAGCCTTGGTCCCCTAAAGGCTATCTCATCCTGAGGGAACTGGTGGGAGCAACTCATGCGAGGTTGAAGCTGCAGTCTAGCCTGGAAATTTCAACTACCAATCCTCCATAACCTTCAATGAAATATGGTCAATACAGCTCTTATTTAAAGCATCCTAATTGCTCAAACTTATAGCAAATACCTGGCGCACAGTAGAATGGTCTAAAGCAATCTTTTTGCATGCTACACATGATTTACATCTATGCATACGTTTGGTAAAACTAATTAAATGAATAAAGGAGTTGGCATCGTGAGTAGGTGAAACGAGTATATGAAATTGAATGTAAATACATGTGGCTAAGAGCTTAGTCACTCTTGGTCGTTTATTGTGTTTTGAGGAATAATAGTGGGATTTTCCAGCAATTAGATGAGTAGGCCTCGCGATGCCATTGAATCTCAGTTATCCTTTCCTCCAGCACAATCGTAGCCGCAGGGCTGTGAGCCAAGTATTCCTTCGCACATCCAAAAATTATTCATTCCAGGGCAATTCCCATTCGATTTCCGGTGAAGCCAGTTCACGAATTCCTTCCGACCAAATTGTTCTCGAGATTTAATGTAGAATCATGAGCATGTATTTGATACTAAGATCATTCGTATTGCCTTTAGCTTACCCGGTTTCATTCGCTCTGTGCTGTATGCATGCAATGCTAGTGACTAATGCGAGGTGAGAGCCCTCACCATTTTAGAGGCTAATCAAGCCCTCTTCTTGCTTTCACTCAATGATTCTATTCAGTGTCCACAAGTGATTCCTAATAATCCCCTCCGATTATTCTCTTGAGGATATTTACTGTTTAGTTTACTCGTATTTGTGAAATTTTTATATCAGAAAAATGTTTCGCTTTATACCATTCTCCCTGATGTCGCGTATTAGCCACTCCTATGTTATGTCTACTCAAACTTTTGGACCACTAAGCCATTGCAGACGGTTTTGTGTCTTTACATCCTATTTTGTATGCGCCGGCAGGGCTCATGAGCAAACAAAATATGATCATGACAAGGGGTGCGAAAATTTTTTAAATGAAGGCCTTGTCCAGAAGAGTATCGTTTTGCGCATCGTTGTAGTGTACCATCTTCTC